GGAGCCTACACCATGTTGACTGCCCAGATGCAACTCATCAGTGGACAATATTCCTACTTGAGCGTTCAGATCCCCATCGGAGCCTTGTGCGTGATATAACTGCTGAGCGGTTAACTCGCTCTTCCGGCACCAAATACACGAGGCCGAACATGTTCATGGCTCACGCGGTATTCCCACCAAATGTGAACTAAGCTGGGAAGGCAGCCATAGTCGAAAGTAGCTAGACTCTAAGTCTGTCGACCTGATGAGCCAAGTTTTGCACCCGTATAGGAAGGTTTAACGGCCAATTACCTTTTAAACTCTTCCCTTCATTGCAGGAGTAATTTCGCGCCGTCGCCACAGGTAGTGGTGATTGGCAAAACCGCATCGAGATGTTGTTATACCACTTCCGAAAGGCAGCAGGAACTGCACAGCGAATCACACGACTCACGCGGATCTGTCCCGGCTCTTGGCTAAAAGACGGGCATAACTGTTCCCACCCAGCGATAAGCATGAGGAAGTGTTCAATTTCAATTCAAGAAAAAGCTTTATGCATCCGGGGTGAATATTCAGCTGTTACACACACGCCTTCAGCATTCTGAAAAGAATGCGCAGATAGGTGGTAAGCAGCAAAAAACAGCAATATTGTTACAATGTAAATTTTCTTATAAGTTGCATAACGACTGAGGTCTGGTTGCACAAAGAACGCGCCAAATATGGGCTTACGGATGAGTATAGGCCCCTGTATGGGAATAAATGAATCAGTACCTTTGTTTAGTTAAGGAAGTTGATATACAGGCGGGACAGTACACCATAAAGGGGTGACTTGCATCAGCAAGTATTTTTGTAACAAGCCTTTTTCAGGAACTGGAATGAGTCGACACAATAATGTTCACAAACCTCGGCTTTAGAATACCTCCCTCCCTCTCCCTCTTCTTATTCTTTATTTCATAGGTCCTCATGGTTGTATGGCAGCGAAGCATCAGTTCAAATGGCTGATGTACTGCTGTTGATGATGATGATGCTTTAGAATACCACTGCATCGAGACAGTTATGACAATGACCTATCTAGGATTTTGAATTGCTTCCTTAGGAAACCGGGGAGTATCGCAGGGGAGAAATAGGTCCAATTAGGAAAGACGCAAGTGGTGATAAATTGCAGTATTAGGTAGCGGGGGACAGAGGAGGATCGCAAACGAGCAGCGTAAAAAAAGCCTCCTCATTTTTGTATTAACTTCATTCACATGGAGTGACCATGATAGATCACGGCTGAGTGTAACACCTAGATACTTCACAGACTCGGTGGGGTGCAACCACTCACTATCTATGTGAACTCAGGGCTATCCATTAGAAAAAGGAACGCCACTACATTTTATTGCATTTAGCAATAAAAAGTGAGCTCTGGGCCATAACGCGTCGTCCAGATAGCCTTGTAATTTGATGGATGAGGCTGATGTCGGATGGTGGATATCTGAGATCACGTCGTCTGCATATTCCAGCGATATGGCTTCGTCAGGAGCGGGTAATGAAGCGACATAAGTAGAAAAAGCTATAGTGACAGTATGTCTCCTTGAAGAACTCCGGTAGCTGTGGTGAGTAGCGAGGAACTTTTATCCCCAAGTTTTCAGAGAAATAGTCCGTCAACAGATGGACAGTGGAAGGTTGCATTCCGGTGTCACATAGGACTCTCAAAAGTAGATCACGGTTTACACTGTCGGAAGCATTGCTATAGTCGAGAAAGCATACTCGCACGGATTTCATCTTATTGTCCAGTGACGCTAGCACTGAATGTACAAGCTAGGCTAGTGCGTCTTCAGTATGCATCAGTTTACGATAAGCAAACTGAAGCTGATAATCTGGAATAGTTGGAGTCATCATACTTACAAGAATAATCTCGAAGGCCATCAGGTTTACTAAGGTGCAAGCAATTGCCTGGTATTTATTTTAGCCTTTCTTTGGCACCGGTGTAATTCTAGCATTTTTCCAACAATCGACAATTTTACATTCCTGTATGCACGACTTGTACAGGTCAGCAAGAGGCTGTGCCAAGGAATCAGCACACGCCTTGAAGACAAGGGAAGACATTCCGTCCAGGCTACTTGCTTTGTTAGATTTTAGCTTCAGCAGTTGATTGAGTACTGTATTGCTGTCAGTGGCAGATGAAGTGATTGTGGGATTGTCCACTCGGCGGAGGATAGGTAACAAGTGCAGTTAACACTGAAACAACAAAATTCTCGGTTTCAATCTTCAAGGCCAATGTCTGGATTTGAAGCTCAGTTAGAGACACCACTAAGTTGTTTCAGCATCCGCCAGACCTATCGGCAGCTATAGTTTCCGAGAATGTCTAGACATATATGTGGTTTAGACGGCGTAACTCTCACTTGATAGAAACAGAGACTTCACTTCTTTCTGTGGGAACGCTTTCTCTTTGAGTCTACGCAGGCGTTTTGGACGCGGAGATGAAAATATGTTCGGCACGGATATAACTCGTTTCAAGTGGACAACAGGTATCAAAACAGAATTTGAAATAACTCGTTAACTTATCACAGTACGTAGATAAATCACTGTCAAATACTATAATAAAGTCTGTAGATGCAATCATTTCTCGTATTCTATCTATGTTCTGAAGTGAACATTGTATTCTTTTGAGCTTACAACCTTTACCGCGAGTGAGCTCCATGTGATTTATTTGGCTGTAGACGACAGGAGATAACTTGACCTTTAAGTTACCAGAGCTACCAATCGCCGCCTGATTGCACATAAAAAACAAATGTCAGCTATAGGGTTGTTTCAAGTCTAGTGGGAGAATTATTTACAACCCGGGATCAGTGAGAAAAGTAGTGTCAAGTCTGTTGAAATCACCATCCAAAATGCAGAGAGAATAATCAATGTGGTTGATAACAGTTGAAGTGAGTTGATCGCAGAAGGCCTCTGCTTCAGTGGGGAATGTAGATATTGCCATAAAATCGATTGGTAACCGCATAAACATCTTGGCTTTCATTTCAAACTTAAACAGTTAATACGTGACGAAGAGAAGCGAAACATACATTTTGGTAACGCACCATGACTGATTGAAATGACTAAACTCTTCCACCACGGTTGCGGTATATACATATCCGGTCGGCACGATGGCAAATGAATCTCTCGATCGCTACAACGGTGTCGCACACGTCCTCATAGAGCCAGGTCTCTTGAAGCATAATTACGACAAGCTTCGAGTTTTCACTAGAGTAGGCTGGTTTTAATCTTATTCATTTTGTTCACAAGTGATCGGATATTTGCGCTAAGTATGATGGGTATATTCATGCGCCGTAATTTTTTCTTGCGTAGAGCGACCCTCCATCCATCTTGATACTTTTTAGTAGATTTGATTTTGCGTAGATTGTCCAGTTTGTTTCTTATGGCTTGACCAGGAAAATGTGTAGCGTTCAGGGAAGTGGAAACACATAATGTGTTAAAAATATCGCAAGTGTAGGTTAACATGACCTTTATTATTTTATGGCTTGGGGAAGAAAAACAAAGTTGTGTTACCGAAAGCGTGAGTATAAATGATTCCGCGGATGGAACAGGAAAGCACGGTCAATTTTAAACGCCCCGCCCAAATTGAGACTATGGCGTGACTAGAACAGATTTTGATATGCAGAACGATTTCATCAACAATGCCTGTGTCGTGTACTGCGCATCCGTTGGCGCGACGTGGTGTCTGACTCAGAATTGCTCCGCCGGAGCGGTATATACGGAATGAATTGCATACTACTAGTGCGACACCTGAGGTGGCTCCGCCATTTACACCGTATATATGCGACGAGGATATGGAAGCATGGTCAACTGCGTCCAGGAAAACGTAATGTAGACAAGCCGAAGCTAGGTTGCCGAAATATAGTCAAGATTGACTTGTCGCTAATATTCAGTTTAGGGGTTGGGAAGCACTGGCAATAAATCACCGCCAATGGCGTGACCATTTCAAGAATGCCGTCGTCCAGGTGACTCGGAAAGGACTTTGTACCAGGAAGGACTCGCAGATTGCGGATGCGACAGGCACTGATGTAGCCCAGTTCGTCTGCGTTCAGCACATGGTGCTATGTCACATGCGTTCGTGTGTGCCTCAGCCGAGGCGATCGGATCAGCCATCAGCGTGACGATGAGTGGATTGTTTTGAATACGCGACGAGTAAGTAAGTACACTGCTTCCGATTCTATTTAGTAGCTCTGATCATTAATGTGGCAGATGTACATGTGCTTCATTGTCGCTGTTATTGGTCTATACTTGTGCTTGTGCTTTTATGTTGTCGCATTTAGCCGGCGCTTGCCGATTGATATCTCCGATCTGGCTGCGCTAGGTGCATATGTTGACAGAGGGCCTGCCTGTTGAAAACCGCCGTTTCGACTACTTGCTCCAGGATACTGTTACTCGTTATTGGGGAAGAAGTGGTGCACAGTCTTCGTGACTGCACTAGATTAGAAGAGTAGTTCCATCCCGTGTGAAACGTGCTACGGCACAGCCACCGTCTTGTGTACTTCTGGCACGCATGATTTTCAAATTATCTAGATAGGAATGCTGCTGCTATGCATGTTGAAAGAGTGTGGACCTGGCTCCGCTGATGAAATATGGCTCTCATTCACACGCCTCCCGGTTTTATTCCTTTGGGCTTACAGTGGATATGGGGTGTGTGGATGGAACTATGGGTGGTGTAACGCAGGTCACCCGTGGTCTCTCTGTAGACACATTCGTCCTGTGTCTGTTAGCAGACACAGTGAGTGTCAAATTTTGAAACGGATGCTGTCGACCATCTTTACGCCTGCCTATGCAGTAGACTTTCGGATATTCAGTGCCGTGAAATCGGAGATCAATGTTTACGACCTTTGTAAAAATAACCGATCACAAAGAGAACAGGGGATGCCAAATTTTTTGTTTTAATCGTGCAATTTATTTTACTCTTTCTGTCCTCTTTTGTTTGGCATTGCTTTTGAAACCGTGCATTTACTCATACTTGCGCCCATTGTTTTCACCGCGACCTGTTTATGGCCATCGCCCAATGCGTTGTAAGTCATTCGTATTACTCCTCTTGGGTTTGCCACCCGGGAAGACGTACGGGGCCTAGGATGACTCGGCATGTTGCGGTTGCTTTCATACTTTGTCACCAAATGATTGCTTGTTCTCCAAACGGTCCCTTCCGACAAATCCTTGCATGCGCAAACATTACACGGCGTGGTTAATGCTCGCTAGGCACGTGCAGGGCTTGGTCGGATCATCTCATTTGGCGCAGCAAAGGCAACTTACAGGCGGAAAGACTCACTCCGCCCAATTGCGGTGTCGGACACCATAATTGCGCACACAGTGTTACCACTATGCACTGGTGATCTTGCCCAAACAGCCGCTGTCAAAGGCCGAAAGGCTACGCATCAGCTACACAGATCGGTCATGACTGGCATCCATTCAACAGTATCGTGCGAACGGTCTTTGGGAATTCTACCCTTTAACGAGAGCAAAATATAGCGACAACGCCACAGATATCTCAAGTTGATAAAGGCCGACCGGGCTCTGCCAATACGAAGGGACGCCTATACTAGTGTCCACAGAAATTCAACTTTCTAGGTACTCGAAGCTATCCACTTGTCCTAACTGTGTGCATTTGATGGTAACAAAACCTTGTACCTGTACGGTCCAAGTACATACCATACACTCTTCAATCACCAATTGGTCAAGAATCAGTAGCATACCAGGAGGGTCGCCACCGGTGTTCCCACCGGATGTGAGCAATAATCCACAATCACACGGCCAAGTGTTTAATTTATTCACTGCGATCAGGCCAGATTTCTGTTTTATACAGTAACATGGGCCTAATCGTAGCGTTGTTTACCCTGCCTTTCATTGGCGGCCGTCTCCATGGATGACTGCACATCTGAAACGTAACACGGGCCTTGCTGACACGCGAAATAACTTTCTCAATGATGTGACTAGCAGAAGTGACAGTTACCAAGATAAGTGAACCAATCCACCATTTCCATTGGCTGTTAGTTGCTGGCTAAAATCGGTTGCGTGTCATTTCAGTATTGCAACAATAGCTTGCACTTTGAATGTGCAAACTTCATGTCGAAGCGTGCGGCGCTGCGCATTAGCTTCTCAAATCACATTTACATAACCCCTGCGCCAGACCCAAAGAAAGCTATGTCCTCCGCATACTCAGGGTTAGTCATTCAGTCATCTGGTAGTGCATCTGCCCCAGTAGATCCTGAAAGAACCGAGATGTTCATGATTATTTCGATCGCGAAGTTGTGACCAAGTGCCTTACATCATTCATTACTTTTCGCCACATGCCATTTACGCAGCCAGATCCCCTCTGCACAAATCGTAATATTTCTCTCATCTACAGATCCTGCGTCTTATGAGAGAACAAGAGGCATCAGCAGTACGCCGGTACACAGTACCGGCGCTTCGCCGCCGCGCAAACATCGCCAGTCGCACGTAAGCTAAAGATATTGCGAGGGTCGCCCGGTCCCTATGCGCCTTTGGATTACAAGGCGGGTTTGCAATCCTTGGGGCTACGGACCGGTGTCTTATAATCACTGCTTGTGCAGTGGTGCCTGAACTTCGTACTAAATGCATCATTGGGGATTTTCCCCAAATCCTACCTATCAAATTTGCTCTCTTCAACAGTGCTCATGTGTTCGAATCACGAAATCTCGTTGGGTCGTGCAACAGAATAGTGGAGATCCAAGCATGCAACTCATCTTCATCATCAACAGCAATACATCAGCCATTTGCACTAATGCTTCGTTGCCGTGCAAACATGAGGACCTATGGCATGAAGAATAATAAGAGGAAGAAGGGGTACTTACCTGAAAACCTTAACGCCCTAAACAAACGTTCAGGGTCAAGGCACTCACACCTTGAGTTAACAACATACCATCACAAACAGCTGGCTATCATGCAAACTTAAAGCGGCATCGCCACGACAGCTTCCTTCGGCTTTTACTGTCCCGCGTCGTAATCAACCATTACCCCCCAGATAACTCAGCACCAAACACACTTGAACAGTCAATCCGACTAAGCGACGGCAGCAGACACTCCACTGGTGTCGACTGCGACCCATGTCCTACAACGTCTCGAGCCAAATACAAGGCGGGTCATGTGGACTCCAGCCTGGAAGGCGAGACAAACCACCGGCACCCAGTTTTATAGTTTGTGACTACATTTCCCGCTACCAAGTTAATTTTCGCCCACCTCGGACCTTGCGCCACCCTGCATCTGGCAAACAAAACAGAGTCTTCTTCTGTAAGCGATGACTAGGCATACCTACTACGTGCCCAAGCCAACGTAACTTATTTAATACTATATGTTGTTCTAAGGAACTAGTATGATTATCACTGCCTATCACTCGTCTACGCACATCGTTGCCTGTGCCATCCAACAACTGCAATGCTTTGGCTGGCTTGCCGAACTACCTCCTCGTGGTGCCAGCTAGGTGGTTCGGGTGTACCCCGTTCCAGCAAAGTGTTCGGTGACAATGTTCCACCTCCGTGGGGCATTGTATTCCAGCAATTGTGCTGACTTCATAGGGAGTATTGGGCCCCTGTTTGGTAATCTACCAAACAAAGACGCATGAACTGAACATTCAGTCAACGCCTCCCAATGGGCGCGATTCCCTAAATTCGCCCCGCTGTCTTGCGGGTAGGTTATTTAGCCAAAGGCTCGGGGTGGAGTCCCCTAAGTCAACTCCCTACTTCGGCTTGGGCAACTGGGTAGTATCACGCCCTCTCACAAAACCATGGACTGTATTACAACTTGCTCATCAACTACTGTTTCTGCTAGTCACTTTCACGCGACTTCATCACACGCCAATTGTTTGTTTGCTAACAATCCTCACTTTCCGTTACCCGATTCATGTGTTCAACAATCAGGCTGCGATTCCGGTTGCGCCGCAGACCAAGGAGTTCAACCTTTGGCTCTCGTTCGTCCCCGATCCTCGTTCCGTTTGGCGTGCTTCAACGTTTGAACATTCATGCAGAATGGACAGACAAGCCGGTCTAGTGCGCACCCTAGATTCTCTAGACATTGATGTCTGCTGCCTCTCAGAAACCCGATTACAAGATCCCAGCACTGTGCTTACATTGACATCCCCCACTGACCACGAAGCTAGATATCACCTGCGTCTTTCTGAAGATTCAGAAGCAGACTCAGCAGGTTCGGCTTATATAGGTATAGCACTACGTTGCAAGGCCGAGGCGGCACTACTGGACTGGTGCCCGATTGACAGCCAACTATGTGCAGCTCGGCTTCGGGGTTCATGTAGAATTAACAGGCACCGCAAAGAGAGACACAACTTGTTTGTGATCTCCGTGTACGCTCCAACTGACTGCAGTGGCGACTCGGTCAAGGACGAATTCTACCGGGGTCTACAACAGCTCTTGACTAATGCTAAAAAGTCGGATGTCGTTATCCCTGCTGGGGATGTTAATGCACGGGTTGGCCGCCTGTTACCATACGAACGCCAGCTTGGTGGTCATCACGCGCTCGATGAGAACCGCTCTGATAACGGAGAGAGGCTTCACACATTGTGTGAAGATAACCGTCTGTTTCTTTCAAGTACTAACTTCAGACATACGAAGAAGCGTTCCGCAACGTGGCATCCCCCCTCTTCAACTCCACCGTGGTCTCAAATTTTATCACATTGCAATTAGCTTCAGATGGCGCGGCAGCGTACTGGACGGCAGGTCCTTTTGGCCCATTTTCGTTGACCCAGATCGTGCACTGTTCTACGCGAAAATCTGTATGTGTTTTGGAGAATCCCGAAACAAGAAGCACCGCAAGATTGATATAAACAGATTAACTGATTCCTCTGTCCAGACGAGCTATCAGTCTTCACTGGCATATGCACTCAGTTGCAATCCACCGCAAGAAGTGGAAAAACACTGGACTTGTATACGGAAAGCGATGACCATTTCCGGACAGTCATGCTGCGGCCTAACTCGACGCCTCCTAAAGGCTTGGATCTCTGCTGATTCTCTAGAGCTGTTCGAACGCCACAAAGATATCCCGGCGGAATCAGATTGCAACCAGCGGCGCCGTTCTGCCAACCGGCTGCTCAAGCAAAGCCTACGCAAGGATCGAGAGACATGGTGGTCTGAGTGTGCTTTTGAGATGGAGACCGCTGCCCTCTCTGACAACACTCACAGGCTTTTCCAACTCATTCGGTCCACTGGCCTCAGGAAGGCTGGTGTCGGTGAGGTCATTTGTGAGGTGGATGAGTCTCCGATCACCAACCAACAGAGGCGTATGGACCGCTGGGCCGAGCACTTTCACTCGTAGTTCAACTGGCCTCCACCATCCATCAGTACATGCAGTACACTTTGTTGTCCACCCTGGCTCGTCCCACTGAATCAACCCAGCGAAGCAGAAGTCTGCCTCGAGACTCGACGCTTGAAGCGCTTCAAGGCTGCCGACTTAGAGGGACTTCCTTCGGAGCTATTCAGGTACGGCGGTGTGGCGATCATTAACCAGCTGACCGCGCTGTTCGCACAAATTTGGCATGAAGAGAAAGTGCCTTCCTCTTGGGACGAATCAGTTATTGTCCCGATTTTCAAGAAAGGCGCTCGCACTTCATGGGTAAATCATCACGGATTTAGTCTTATTTCGGTTGCCTCTAAGCTACTGGCATCCATTCTGCTTCGCAGATTATCCGCAATACGTGAATCATACTACCATGAAGAACAAGCTGGTTTCCAACCTGGCCGCGGATGCATGGATCAAATCTTCACGCTCCGCCAGCTCCTCGAACATCGCCACATTTATCACAGACTTACTATCGTTGCATTCCTAGACATACGTGCCGCTTTTGACTCCGTCGATCGACCTGCTTTATGGCGTTGCTTGCTAAAGATTGGGGTGCCAGAGAAATATATTGCCATCTTACGCGCACTTTACTTTCATACATCCGGCAGAGTGAGGGTCTATGGCAAGCTTTCCTTGCAATTCGCTGTCAGTAGCGGTGTGCAACAGGGCTGTCCTATACCCCCATTCCTCTTCAACTTCGCAATCGAAGACGTTTTGTCGGGTGCTCTAGGTTTCTAACATTTTGGCCTAGCGCTTGTACCGGATGAGCGCGCGACCGACTTAGATTATGCTGATGATATCGCCTTACTTGGTGACGATCCTTAGGGTATGCAACTCACTCTGGATCGTTTGGGGTTGAAGCACCTAAATATGGCATAAGCTTCGACCCATCAAAGTGTAAAGTACTGCTCAAGCATTGGCTTCCACCTTCTCCCGTGCTCACTCTCGAAGGTGCACAACTTGAACATGTAGATAGTTTTGTCTACCTTGGGAGCTGTATTTTTGCTGACGGCACTATCAGCAAAGTAGGATCCGCATCGCTAAAGCTCGATCAACATTTGTCAATCTGATGCACTTTTGACGTCGTCGCGACGTTTCATTCTCACTAAAGGGTCGCGTTTACAGCGCATCAGTTCGTTCATTATTGTTGTATAGGTGCGAATCCTGGCCGATTCGCGTGGAAAACATGCATCGTCTTACTGATTTCGATAACGGTTGCTTAAGGAGGATCGCTCATGTTTGGTGGCAACATCGAGTTAATACTAATGACGTCCGACGTCGCATCTTGGGGAATACGGGTATTCTCTTCAACAAGCTGGTTTTGTTGGGCCAGTTGAGATGGCTCGGTCACGTCCTGCGCTTGGCACCTGAGCGTCTACCGCGTCGCGCTCTATTTGCTCGTCAAAGACCTGGCTGGAGGCGACCGCGTGATAGTCAGACTTCCACTTGGCGGCAGTACATGAAATCGCTGCCGTCGTGTCTAGCCGCTGTTGGATCCGTACGTCTTCCAGGATGGGAACCCAAAGATGAGGAGTGCCAATGGCTTAACACTTGAAGACATGGCCTGCAATCGGAATCAGTGGAAGAATTGTGTACGGTATTGTATTGATTCACATGTTTAATACTACAAACATTGAAAATGATAAAGAAAAGAAAAATCGTCGTATGAAAAACAAATGTATTGTTCTACTCTTTGTCAAAATGTTCCCTTCTTCCTGCGGCATATTAGCTGAAATGTGGTGTTCACCTACAACTACCATGCCACGATGATTATAACGCAATGACGGTCCCTTATCCGCCGATCTCCATGGTTTTATGTTGGCTCTGTGTCTAGTTGCTAGACTGCTGAGATTACGAACATACATACATACTGCAATGCTTCGCAGACGACGATGGTCAAAGGCTCGAAGACGCCGCAAGTCGTCAGATCGGAGGGGCCAGGTCTTGCTTCCATATAGTAGAACAGTTCACATTGTGGCCTTGTGTGCAACGCCTTTTTGACGGAGGGAAATCGCTTTTTGACGCCCCAGATGTCGCAGATTCAAGAAGGCAGTTCAGTCTTTTGCATTGCGTGAATTGACTTCAGTTGCTATCAAAGGGTTGGTTGTCTTGTAACTTTGCACTTTGACGGTGCATAAGTGCATGCTAAATGAGTGGATCACTCTAGAGAAGTATATCAGAGTTGATTGGGACGACCCAAAATCGTTAAAATGCAGGACAAAATCATCCGAATAATCAAGGTCAACTAGCTTTTCACCAGGCAGTACCTCAACGCTTTCGTAAATCAGTTTTAGTTGATGTCGTCAAACGGATTGCACCCGAACGACCGCTCACGGGAATCCAATTAACCAACGATGATGTTGCCTAGAGCTGAGAACGATGCATACCCCCAGCTTGATCAGTGAGTGCCGCATCAGCGTATCCGGATGCGTGCAATCAAGAGCGAGCAGGCACAGAGTGCACTTACTTCAACAGCCTCATTTGGGTCACACACGCGCACACACACACAGCCCACGTCGTTACCCAGCTTGTCAAACGTGCATACGAGCGCAGCCTGTTGACCTGTTTGTCTTTGACTGCGGACGTTGAACGCCGCCAGAAAAAGAGGACAGTGTGGCCTTATAAGGAACTGTTGGCGATTCCGGCCCAGTGTGTTGTGCAGGAACATAGCTGCAGATGGCATGACTCTAGTAACATTTTGGTTGCGGTCAGTTAGACTGGGAATTATCGGAGTTAGGGGAGTAAGAGAAACAGTTGGCATAGGAAGAACGGAGACGCCAGCAGTAGCATGTCTTCGTTTATTTGCCCGCTGTATGCAGCAGATAAGGCGACCATTGCTAAGCTGTGCGACGGCCGCTTTAGGATATGGTTGAAGTTTACAGAAGTAGTAATGGTTATACGTAGGTTGCGATACTGCCAATGAGCCCAACCACAGACAGGAGGACGATTAAGGCCCTCAACCAACGCCTTTTGCTCAAAAAGCGGTCCGTAAGACAGCGGATGTGGCAACGATCCGGTTTTACAGTAGTGGACGACTTCCTATTTAAAACCTTAAACCTGGAGGATCAGGAGACTGAGTTCGTCTGATCTCTAACCATTGACCCACCTGGTAGAAGTAGCAGTTAAGAGGCCCAAGGTCTCCACCCAGTCTAGCTCAATGGATCACCGAGGTATGCAAACTGTCCCATCACCTTAAGGTCCAATCTCGTCGTGACGGATTTCGTGGAGGTAAGTAACAAAAAGTCGTCAGACTGAAACTAGCACTTGGAAAGCAAGTGCACCGCTTTAGTTGGCGTTAATGGTCGTTCTTATGGTACTTCTTCGGAAATGCTATAGAAACCAGCATTCTTTCCTTCAACTCTTCCGTCCTTCTTACTCTTGATCGTCGCGAATCTCCACTAGGCCTGACGCCATTTCTGTGCCCATGCTACTCTGAGGTAAACGATCGGCAATCACGCTAAGGACGTGATCCATCCATGGTAGGTAGTACAGGTGTTCCAAACATTCAACTGCTAAACTAGGGACCCTGCCACTAGAGAACCACGAGCGGATTTCGGCATTACTCGCCGGTTACTAGCTGTTTAATAAAATTAAAGGGTCTGTGGCCGAAAGGGTTCTACGCATTGTTTGTGATCCGAAGGTCACTGGTTAGAATCCCTATTGGTGTGTGCGGTCTCACTGTATACTTGCGACTGGTGATGCTCGTGTGGCAGCGAATCGTCGGTATGGTGTACCGGCGTACTACTGTTGCTTTTTCTTTCTTTTCCGTACACGCGACGGGTGATCAAGTAGATTGAAAGGCCTGTGGAACCGTTTGTTGAGATCCGATTCCTCTCGTTTGACTCCTGAGCATGCTAGTTGTAATGTGTGGATCAGTTTCTGGGTGCATATATTCGGCCTCTGATATGTAAGTAAATGCTGGTAGATCACGTTGTTCATTTGTTAGACGAAGTGTTCTCTGAGCTTGGCAATTATTTCGCAAACGTTTCGGCACTAGTCGAGATGATGTCACCTCGACTGGTAACGAAACGTTTGCAAAATAATTGCCAACAACAGAGAACAGTTCATCTAACAAATAGATTCGACCTCATCAATCTTATCCATAACTCTTTAGTCGTAGCACGCTGGCGTCCTCCTAATCAATGTTTTACTTGCGATGGTACTTTGTGATGGAAGTATCCTACCAGAGTGAACTAATGAATCAAAGTAGCGAGCTATACAACCAGTGGGATAGGGACATAACGGATTTGATGGCTGGATATGGATTGGCAGCTGTTCGTGTTGTTTAATCGATCCAAAGCAGGAATGAACGCCATAAGCTCATAAAGATCGCTGTTTATGGACGTGAACAGACAATGTATGAGGAGTTCGGCCTGGCAAACATGCTGTGTTTTTCGGCAACTGCTTGTCCCTGAACTACTGTTCTGTAACATTTCACAGGATCTCGAAGAGGTGGCATGCTCTCCGTTGCAATAGTTCTTTGTCATTACTCCATCATAAACTACCCTGACCCACTCCGGCCCGTGGTCTCAAGGACCACTGGCCTGCCTTGTCGTCTGAGGGCGTGGGCTCGATCCTGCGTAGGGGACCGGTCGACTCTTGCAGTATCCTTAACCATCGCTCAACTGTTGGTGGTTGGGCGGCAGCGAAGCATCATTATTGTTGATACCATTTCTTTATCCCTACGCACATAGCTTTGCGACTACTCTGTACTTGATGACCAGACAGAATTAGTATTTTTGTTTCCACTAGAGCCGCATAGCTTACAGAACCCCCTTCGTTACTCATGCATATATAGTTGAAGTGCCCAACGGCTTTGGACGCTCTTTAAATTGCTTAGTGATACGATTTCAATGTTGGTTTGACCCGACCACAGTGATTGCTCAGTGATTGTTAGTGTTCCGATTAGCTTTGCCCTGTGCTGCGCGCATTAACGAACAATCGTAGCCTAGGTATGCACCTCAGTTCAGTCGACTTTCGCCAGCTGACCATGACATTGCGGTTAATCGTTGTTCACAGGAGATTTCCGCACGGTCGAATCACACACACGCCGCTAATAGCGATTCCATTTTGGCAAACAGCGTTCAGCGTGTATTATAAGTAACGCTCCGTTGTCGCAACTGCTCTAATTCCATGATATTGTTGATTCCACTAATTTTGGCCGTCGGGACAAGCCGAACAAATGAACTTTGATTGTACCCACAACAAGATCACCATATATAAAATTTGTGTTTCGTATCCTGCTCCTTTGCATGTCACAGGACTCCGCGCTGGAGGACTTGGAAGCAAATTTGATGGAAGTGAAGCAGCGACTGGAAACAGTGAGTTGTAGTCATCCACATATGTGCCCATGTTTTTCAAATCCGTTTGTTTCATACACCGTTGCACTTTCTAATTACGTCTGCGTATATTATTCCTCTTTCTTTTCTCTTGTCCATTTATTTAAAAGACTTTCTTCAGCTATCAATGCGACTCGTGAATCTCGACATTTCTGTTTGGCATCCCGCATCCATGACGGTCTTACTTAATGAGTGTTTTCTAGTTCTCTTAAAATTTCAAACCAACTGATTATTAACAATTGTTTGCGCTGTCACAAACATACTGTGTTATCACGTAGTCCGTCTCAATAGAGACTGTACCTCTCTTTTCACTTTCGCAATATCATTACGACATCAGACATACTTCAGGAGGCCTCAGCAGTACTCCGGTACGCAGTAACGACATTTCGCTGCCTCGCAACCACCACCAGTCACGCGTGGGCTATATATACTGCAAGGGTCACCCGGTCCCCTTCGCAGGCTCGTACCCGCGCCCTCGGGTAACAAGGCAGGCTTGTGATCCTTTAACCTACTGGCCGGCAGACTCATTTCAAAGGTTACTGGTTTCTCCAATGACGGTTCAGAGGTCCAGTGGTGCTAATCCTTACGTACTATATACTATGAAATCTATGCTATTTGATCCTTAGCAAAGACAGTTCCCATAATTCTCCTCTACGTAACTCCAGCTGGCTCCGTCCACTCCAACTCGGATTTGGCACTGTCAGTCGTCTATTTTTCTTCACATCCGCATATGAGTGATTACAATAGTGTGATCCTGTCTCCAACTGTTATTTTCTTGATTACATGTCCGGCGGCATCCTGTTCCGGATTAGCCTGTCACTGCGGCCTCCATAAGATAGTCACAGGACACCTGCGCCCACAATTGGACCATGAGCGGCTTGCGCTTCATCACCCACCTTTCCATCCACACACCCCATATCCAGTGTAAACCCGAAGGAATAAGACCGGGAGGCATGTGGATGGGAGCCACGTTTCGTCAACGGAGCCAACCCACACTCCTTCAGCATACATAGCACCAGCATTCTTGTCTACATAGTTTGGGAATCATGCGTGCCAGAGGTACACAAGCCGGTGGCTGGGACGTAGTCCATTCCACACGGGATGAAACTAATCTTTTAGCCTAGCATCTTTACGAAGACTGTGCACCTTGTTTCCCCAGCAACCATTCACAGTCCCTGAAACCAGTATTCCAAGTGGTGATGCTAGACAGATAGGCACCTTGCCAACCTTCACATCAAGCGCAGTTACACCGGGAATATCAGACAACCAATGTGGAATTTGCGGCAAATTAAACCCACAAACTTGACACCATCCCTTTAACACACAATCCACGATTCCCCCTTGGCAACTAGAGTATGAATCTCTCAGGCTCCATCCATTTTCCGATTCCGCTTGTATTGTTTGTACTTCTTCGGAGCATCCTGTTTGGATCTAGATTGCACTCATCGTGATTGAGTCTTCGTTATGGGTGTTATGGTTTTATCTGTCAATATTTTTTATGTACTTGTTGGAATGATCTAAATCATTACTAACCATTTGTACTACTTTTATATTGACTGCGCTTTGATTTGCTTGTTGAAGCGCCGGTAACATGTGCAATGGCCGGGTTCCGGTCTCAGCTTTTTGTTTTGAAATGGTACCAAACTTCTCTTACAGGGCGTATTTTTATGCAAGTTTCTGACTAGATTTATAATTAACTTAAATCACTGTTTGTTTTTTAGTCTTCGCACTCTTGTGTATGTTGGTTTCACTTGATCCTCACTTGCCAAATGCGGAGTTTGGACCTTGTTGTGAAATAGTTTAATTCCATTCAGTTCGTTTGAACAACTGTGATCCGAACACCGCGATTTTCTATTACGACGAGACTGGACCTTACCGTGGTGCGATGGTTTGCGTGCTTCAGAGATCCATTTTGCTATCCTGGATGATACTATATGCGCCTTCAGATCCACTCATACCAGATTAGTCAATGGTTAATAGCCAGACTAACTCAGACTGCTGGCCCTCCAGGTTGGCGGTTGGAATAAGGGTGACGCCTTACTCCGTACAACTGATGCTCTGTAGCCCACCGCCAAACGCACTCCCTTGCGGTCAGCTTTTCAAACCATATGCTTTGATTGTGAATCCTACTCGTTCTCCTGTCTAATTTTGGGCAACATCGTCATCAATACACTTTAGCCGAGGGTGAGAAACACACCTCAACCAATGTGCCGCAATACAACTAAAATAAGACATTAAGCAATGTAGACTTAAAAGCTATAAAAAAGGTAACATAAGGCTAATATCACATTTTTTGTGGATGCTGAAGGGGGAAGAGGACGAACAAAGAGACTCACAGCACAAATCCCACTGAGGTCGACTTTTTGCCATGTCAGTTATTGAATCCAACGAAGCGTGTTCATCATCTTTCAGTCCCTAACCGAGCAGTCAGAAAACATCAACCGACGCTTACTTCGAAGTAAGAGACTTCATTCCTCTTGAACAAGTCATCGCTTGACTTCCCTACCTCTTTATCCATCCACATCCCCGGCGCGCAAACAACGCACGTTGCGGGAGTCGGTGGGCTGGCATGCGCAACTCATGGCCCAGTTATCGGAGCATGGTGAGTGACGTACTGGTGCTGAGTGGTTCACTCGCTCTTCCTGCACCAACTACGCGACGCTGAACGCGCGCATTGCCCAAGTGGTGCTTCCACCAGACATGAGCTAAGCTGCGAAGGCAGTTAGCCTCTTTTTGTCTGTCGACTTGATAGGCCAAGTTTCGCAACCGTACGGGAGCGTTGTACAGACGGCTGCATTGTAAACCTTGCCCTTCAGGGAGAGAGAAATGTCATGCTGGCGCCACAGATGGGGGAGATTTGCAAAAGTGCATCGAGCTTTTGCTATACGGTTCGTGATCTCATCTTCTGTTCCGCTGGCGCTGAGATAGCTACCCAGATACTTGAATTTCTCGACGACTTCTAAATTATCACCGCCAAGGTTCAGTGCAGGAGTGGGTACTTGCCAATCTTGGAGAACTTTGCACTTCGATAGTGCAAAGCATGACCCGAAACGATTGTCAGTTAGTGTTAATCTGTCCAGTGCTCTTTGCACTTTTGGAGGCTGTCACGGATGTGCGCAGTGTCAGCATCCTTGAAGTCGAGAAGTCGCTCACCAGGGAACAGATTCACACCTAATTCGTGTCCGGCGTACGCCGTTTCCATGAATTCGTCAATGGCGAAGTTAAAGAGGAAAGCTGACAGCGGGCAACCTTGTCTCGCCCCGCTGGCGATATTGAAGTGCAGCGACGGCTTGCCGTAACCCCTCACTGCCCGAGCTACGCACGTCTCGGAAAATGTTTACATATTTCTCGGGCACCGTTCCTGAGTAGACAGTCCTATAGGGCACATCGATAAACCGAATCAATTGCCACTTTGATGTCTAGGAACACGATTACAGTGGGTCCCCAATAAACGTTGGTGCTCCAACAATTGACGTAATGTGAAGATGTGGTCGATGTAGCTTCCATTTTGACGAAACCCGGCTTGCTCCTTGCGCATCTGGCTTTCACAAGTGCCAATCAGGCTATGGGGGACGACCGACGCAAGTAACTAAGAGACAGTGGAGATCATACTGATTACTGCATGACCTAGGGGTACTCTCACGCTACGATTTGAAGTCCGTGGACAACACGAACAGGCTATATCGGAACGGACTGCGCATGCTTTGGGCGCTCAAACGTAGCTTCTGCACATGGTCTGAAGAGGTTGCCACTCGCCTGTTCTCTTCTATCATTAGACCAATGCTAGAGTACGGTTCGCCCGCCTACTTTCCGATTACCCGAGGCGAGGCACAAAAGATCGAACGGGTCCAACACGTTGCTACCAGGCTCATCCCGAGTTTACGTGGCTTTGGGTATGAAGACCGGTGCGAGAAACTAGGACTCTACACCTTGTCCTACCGTCGGGTGCGAGTTGACCTCATTATGACCTACCGAATTCTACATCTCGGTGAGTTCCCCATGTTAAGGCCAATGCTGCACTTACGAGGGCCATGCAGCACACGCGGACACAGATACAAACTTGTTGTGCCGGATATGAAACGTGTTCCCCACCCACTGTGCTTCGAACGGAGAGTGGTAAACAGTTGGAAGACTACCGCATTCCGAACGAGAGCCTCCATTAAAAATTGGAACTATTACAGAGCGCTTCCCGTCTGCCTGAACGCTGCTGCTCAAGCCTTCCCGCCTTTTTATTCCCTCTTGTGCTTTTTCCTCCTTATCTTTCCTTTCCAACTTCACTTTTATCCCCCTGTTTTCACTCTCCCAATTCCTGGCTCTCTTTTGACTTGCTTCAATTATCACATGTTTTTAGTTACAGCTCACACGCGTTCGCAGGGTGCCGCTGCAGTCCAGTCGACAATTCCATGTTCAGCCAAGCGGACAACGTCAGTTCATCGGTTTCTCTTTGGAATACTCCATCTGCTAAGATTAGCATGCCACAACGTGCGCACTTTATTACAACGTGGCCAACAGGCAGCACTTGTCCGAGCACTAGAGACCCCCTCGATCGATATTTGCTGCTTATTGGAAGCCTGCCTGCGATCCCCCACGTGCGATACAGGCGGCACGTTCTCATTATGGCTGTCTGGAGATGATGCAACTTCAAATGCCGCTCAAGCCATCTTGGGCGTCGTTTTGAGTCCCCGAGCGGAAGCTGCTCTGATCGGTCGGTTTCTAGTCAACGGCCGGATGTGCGACGTTAGATTGGCTGGCTCCTTCAAGGTTTCGAAGTCTCACGGAGACAAGCGGTGCCACTTTGTCATTGCAGCCTACGCGTCCACAAATTGTGGCACTGATTCGGTGAAAGACGATTTCTATCACCAATTTAACGATCCCCTTCCTTGCTTAAAAGTGCCGTATTGTGGCCTTGGCCGGTGATCTGAACGTACAAGTCGGAAAATCGCCCTCTAATGAGCATCTGGGCGACCAACATGATGCATGTT